AACCTGCTCCAGAGCCAGTGCATCTTTCCTGTGATAATGGGGCCCAAAACTGTGCACAACACTCCAAATCTGGCCTGACCAGAGCCTTATAGAGCCTCAGAAGTACATCTCTGCTTTTATATTCAAGTCCTCTCAAAATAAATGCCAAAGTTGCATTCAAATAGAGAAGTGGATGTGTCATTATGGGATACATCTTACCAGAGAGGAAATGAGCTGTAACCCTGAAGTTATTTTGTCCTACAAGAAGCAAAATGAGCAATTTTGATGAGATGAATTTCCATCAGTTAGAAAGGTTTGAGGACCATGACTGGTATTCAAGTAGAAATTATTGGATCAGGTGTACCTTGAAAGATTTACTGAAGTAGCAATCACTTTCTTCAATGCTCATGAAAAAATATGGGACATCCTCAGTGACTCAAAGAATAGAATATTCAATGATTGCCAGATATCTAAATAGATCAGGTAATGGACTCGCATATTAATACATTGGAATGATAAGTTGTGGACAGAATGAGGGTGAATGCATTTTTAGCAGATATGGTTGTTTCAGGAGAAAACAGAATTGGCACAGCAATAATTGGGAATGAATCTCAGGAATGCCAAAGGAACAGTTAAGAGGTGCTTCAAGTATAACTTGAAATTTCATTCTAAGATAAATTAGTCAAAGCAGAGAGATAGGATTCTCCACACCACACAATTATTTCTGAGGAAGAGGGAGAAGATACTGACAGATCAAATAAATAATCCACATTGTAATGAATTTAAGTTCTGTGGTGCATGTATTAGTCTTGGACAGCTTTAGATGTGTGAGAGTGGTTGCATTTCAACTATACCCTGTACATAGAACTGATTGTTTAAAATATGATCTTCATTCACTAAGTAAGAGTTGACATAAAATTAATGAGTATCAAAATATTACTTGTGGTTTAGGTGATTACTACTCATTGACGCCACTAAAAATGTTTGCAATTCCATGTAAGGTAACTGGAGTAAGCCGGTTTGTCAACGTTGATATAGTCTCGAGTGAGAACTAAGGACCCACTCCCTGCCATGGACAGGACCAATGTCATCTACAAGATTCCCTGCAGAGACTGCGAGAAACACTACATCGGACAAACAGGAAGGAAACTAACAACAAGAGTACATGAACACCAACTGGCTACAAAAAGACACGACCAATACTCACTCATCTCAATCCACGTGGACAAGGAGAACCACGACTTCGACTGGGACAACACCAAGATCCTGGGACAAGCTAGGCAGAGACAAGCATGAGAATTCCTAGAAGCATGGCACTCCACGAAGCATGCTATTAATAAACACATAGAACTCAACCCCGTATACATTCCACTACGAAGGAAAACCGGAAGTGAGGCAATCCATCTCAACAGACCCCAGAGTTTAAAAACTAGGTGGGAAAACACACCAACGCTTCATCGGAGGCTGCACTGAGGATGTTACCAAGCATGGTAACAAAACATCTGCGAAACAAGAAACCAGCTCGGCGAGCCAACCAACCTCAACAACCTCAATACCCATGGTGCCACATTAACCTGAAAAGGCACAAATGAAACTTGAAAGGAGCACGATAAAGCAATTATTTATGGAAAGTCTGTGGATCTACAGTTTATCCAGTTAAAACTTTATTCTATCCACTGAAGAAAACCTGATGTCTCTCATTAGAGTGTTAGACAAGTATTAATGACATTAAGTCAAGAATCAGAGAGAAAATGAAGAAATTGCCTTAAAGTTACAGAAGAGATTTACTCGTCCTATGCATCAAAGGTTAAAAGTTCTGTAAAAACCGGTGTGATAGATGAAGAATATAAAAGGCTAATAGAAAAGAATAGTGAGTAATGTGAGCTCTGTAAAAACTATCATAAGATAGCATCATGGCCTATTGGCATGAGACTTCAATGATTCAGTTGCCATGGATCTAACAGTGTACAAAAAAGACTTAATGTTTTCATTCTGCATTTTGTAGACCTGGTGACCATAATTAACCTATGATAATACTTAGTAAGAACAACAGGGTAATTATAGAGTAAATTATGGAGAAATGGTACGGGGATCACAACTGGGGCACCAGCAAAGTTTCTTGACTGACAATGGAGGGAAACTCGCCAACAATGGATTTATTGACATTTGTGAAAGCATGCAACTCACGCTCATGAATACCTCTGCTCAGCAATGGACTTTGAGAAAAGAATCATAAGGTGACTGATGAAATGCTGCAGAAAAATTTAGCTTGATTAACCGATCTGCAAGTTGACAATAACCCTGTCCCAGGCATTTCATGCAAAGCATTACCAAAAAGTGTATGAAGCATTTAGTTGCTATCAAAATAGGAAGAATCTCAAAATGCCAAATTGTGCAAAGTCTTCCAGCACCAGAAGGTCTTACCATTAGTTTTCTTTCTTTTTCCTGCACATTGAATGCTTTACTTGCAGGGAGATAGTTTTTTTTTTAAAATCAAGGTTGAGGTCCTGGAGGAAATTCAGAAATCACTGAAACATTGTATAAGACAATCTGAGGTAGAGTTCAATTCAAGAGGTTTGAAGTATTAATAAAGAAAGGATTGTCAGGCAGTAAAATAGATCATGATGATAAGACAATATTTATCAAACATTACAATCAAACTGTTAAGGTTTATTCCTCATAATTAATCAGAATTAATTTAAAAATTTCAGACTCAGAATGGTTAATAGAATTAAACAAGGGTGAGACTTTTTAGAAATACATGTTCTAAAAGCACTCAAAGAAGAAACAGGCACAGAAGGAGGACAACGAAAAATAAACAAACACACCCAAGGTCTGAATAAGTATTCAAGGATGTATTTTTCAATAAGTTTGTTTTATTGAAAATATGTTATGTTCAACTAAAAGCAGCCCCCCTGATATTTTATTGGCAATTTAAAAGGAAATGTTTGAGCCGTCTCCATGATAATTATTAATGACTTCTTATGGGTGAAACTACAGAATTTGAGAAATGTAATATTCAGAGCATAAAAGTTAGGCTTGTGGGACTTTATGAATATATTGATTTAGATATTAAGCAGAATAGGTCTGGAAAACTTTAATCAACAATTCTATTTACAGATTGCTATTCTCATCCCAGTTAATCATACTTGATTCTCACAGAAAGAGATGTTATATCAAAAGAAGAGATTGAGCAACTGCAAAGCTTAAACTGGGCCAAATGCTATATTGGATGTGTTGAAGTTTAATACTACAATGAAACATCCTAAAGTCAAGAATGTTTTGTACTGAAAACAATCTTTAGGAATAAAATCTGGAAAAATAGTTCTAAAGTTTCTACCTTTGGTGACCACATGAAACCTGTCATTTTTAATATGTTTCATGTGTCAATCTTCCTGATAAGTAGTGCAGGTGGTTTCATAATCTCTCTTTTGAGTGAAAATGGGAAATGTCACTCTTTAGCTTGGAAAGCTAGTCAATAAAATGGGTTGCAAAATGTACTTTAGCTGCAGAAAGACTAATTGTAGTGATGGCAGTGGATATGGGATTCTGTTTGCCAAAAAAATTATATTTTCTACAATGAGCCTAGAAAGGTAGCATACCCATTGTGTATAGAGATAATCATATGAGATGAAGTACATTCTACAAAATTTGTACTGTTATTGTTGCACTGCCTCTTAGGTAAAACTTGTAATTTGATTAAACGGGTGATTGTGTAATTTGGTGGTGGATTTTTAAACAAAAGGGCTGAGTACTGGCTTGATAGTGGATTTCTAAAATTAAAAAAAAATGGGTTTTTATACTGGCCCTGGTGGAATATATTTGTCATTTGTTGTTTGTAAATGTGATGGTGGTTTATTTATATACAAAGCTGAACTAGGTTCTTGCCCAATGCTGAGTCAGGTTCTGGACAAGGTAAGGGTCCAGAGGGGAAGGGAGGAAACCGTTGTTTGTGCTAAACTGTGAATTTTCAACAAATCCCTTGTAAATCTCTGAAAACCTTTTGCTGCCTTGACTAACATAGGGATCTCTCGTCTGTTAAACATCCAGCAACATGCCAGTCTTCACTAGCCTGCTACCACCAATGCCTTCCCATATCATCTGACCTCTACAACAGAAGAAAGCTGGAAATAAGGGACAGGTCCACAGATGCTGTCTGACCTGTGAGTAGTTCCAATACTTTCTGTTTTCAATTCAGATTTCTAGCTTCCACAGTATTCTTCTGAAAGAAAAATAATGTGAATTCCCTGGAGTTGAACCTCTTCAATAATCAGTGAAACTCTCTTTTTGAGTTTGCTGCCAACATTGACTCCTTCATCGTGCCACACTCTGCAACCTCACTCCAACAAAATCTCCTAGTTCGTCTCTTTTATGACAATCCTCCTTTTGAAATTTAGCTGCTGTTGTCAAACACTACAGCCATCCTGCATAAACAGCAATAAGATGAGTAACTGTTATGATTGCTGGAGGGAAGACTTTTGGACAACATCAAGATTTTTTTTTTCCTAGAAACAATTGGGTTTCCATGCCCATCTAACCAAAAAAAGCAGCAGTTTGACATTTCAACTGCAAGACAGCACCTCCGATAATGTAGCACTCCCTCAGTGCTGTCTTGATGTCACAGTGATCCTCCTGAGCCTGGAGAGGAGTTCAAACCCACCTGACTCAGAGATCAAAATACTTAAAAACCGAGTCAAGCTTACAACGACTTCCTGAGTGCACTAGTCTATGAACCCTTGTTAAATCTAAAATCTGACAAGTTTATCCAAAACTTTCACGTATTCGGAACATCCTGAAAGACTCAGATGAATAAAAACACATTGAGTATCATCTTGTTATAAAACTACAACAATACATTGTTTATTGAGAAACATTCTAAACAGCCTAAGTACTCAGCATCATCTTTCTCTTAAATTAAGAATGTTCATTGAATTGTTTTCAATTGCTAGTGGACATGCAGGGAATCAGACTCCAAATGATTTTCCATATTCTGTTCCATGATTATAATAAGAACAACATACCTAGAAGAGCAGAATTCCCATCTCCCAAAGGATATCGTTGGTACCTTGGAACTGGGAATGGAGCCACGAGGTGAAACTTTTTCTCTAGCAGCGGTTCTAACCGAGAGGCAGAGGGATCAGCTGAATGGAAGAGGCTGTACACCTGGCTGCAAGCAGGCCGCAGGTGAGACACTGACAGAGGGAAAAGACAGGCATGAAAAAAAACAGACCAAGCACAAATGGTTATTCTCCTCAGTCAAACAACGTCTTGGAACAGTTATTGGTTATGGCAATTTTTCATTCGAGCATAAAAACAACAGCGTTCATTTTAATGTTAATAGTTAATTTTAACGGAAAACTAAAATGAGGAAGAGTAAAAGGACTAGTCACCCAATCTTCTGTAATGGTTGCACAACATTGCAGCTCCATGCAGCTACAACACATGAAGCTTTTTATCTATTCCCATCCCATGCACTCCGATCAAAACAATTGCCAACTTTTTCTGGTCTGTATCATTCTTTTACAGCTGACTCATTGGAGAATTCACCAAAATGCCGACATCCTGTAAACTATTGTTCGGGTGGAGGAGAATTTCCATACACCCCCCATGAGGTAGTTTGCCCACCATCAGTGAAAATGATAGTCTGTAACTTCCATTTTGGAAAATGTCAGCTTGCAATTTCCCAAAACGTGCTGTTGCCAGGTGAAGTGCCTGAGCCTCAGTGAACCCAGAAAATATAATAACCTTCACAATCTTACAAATCACCAGTTGCTGAACAGTGCAAATAACAGCAGGATATACATTAGTAATGGCATTTCTTTTATTCTGATCAAAGAGGAGTGTTGAGTTATTGCTTTTTTACAAGAAAAAGTTTCTTGAACTATTTTTTTCTGTCTGCAGTCTGTCGCTCCCAGAGTAGGAGTAATAAGAATCCTGCAAATAGAATGGGCCAGTTCTGAGGGTGGGGATGTGGAAGCACAGCAGTCCCAGTTCCTATTTACATTCCTCAATCTTCCCATGACGGGTTATCACCTTGTATTCCTACATTGAAATAACCAGCTAGAAGCTAGCAAACAAATCCAATCAGATAACTCAAATCTTCCAAGCTGAGATTTAGAATCATTCGCTTCTGGAGGAGAATTGAATGCCTGCTAAAAAGACATTTTGTGACATTCTAAAACAACTGTGTCTTCAGCTTTAGGATTGGGGATAGTTTTAATTCACACACTGACATTCTGGAGGCAAATATTTACATGCTCCAACCCCTAAAAGAAAATGAATGTTTATTTAAACGCTGTTTCCAGCAACATAATTTACTTTTGCATAATTATCAGATAAATGGATACAATTATGCAAAATTAATCATTACACTAAAAAGAAGCATTGCAAACTATCAAGACAGATCCTGTACAACTCCAAATAATTAATTTAGAAATTATTTGAATAAAAACAATGACTGTGCTCCGATCTACACAGCATGCATGCTGAGCAATCACTGATTCCGTGCTGCAATTTGCAGTTTTGCATGTTTCTCTCTTTGGGCCATATTTTGAAAGCTGTCTTGATACTGACTAGAAAATTTTCAAGGACTTACCATCTACTGAAGGAAGTACTGTCCACCTCATTGCCAGAACCAAAGCCAGTGGGGAGCCAAAGAGGAAGAAGTCAGAGACATCAAAATCAAATCGTCCTGGATTTCCATCTAATAAGTTAGTGCTACTTGTCCTTTGTAAATCAGGGTCATCATTTAATGCACTGGAGTGACTTCTGTTTAAATAAAAATAACATTATTAAAACCAATGCATTAATCTTATAGGAAATAATTTAAGTTTAACATGCTTTAATTTAAATGTGTTTTATTCATTCATAGAATGTGGCTGTCACTAGCTAAGCCAGCATTTATAGCCCATCTCTAACAGCCCAAAACTCGGGTCAACCACATTGTTATGGGTTTGGAGTCAATCACATACCAGCCCAGGTAAGGATGGCAGATTTCCTTCCCTAAAGAACATTACTGAACCTAATGGGATTTTACAATAAGTTGATGGTGGTTACATGGTTGACATTAGCTATTTGTTTCATTCCAGATTTTTTTGTATTATATTCAAATATCATCATCAGCCGAGGTGGGATGTGAACCCATGTCCTCAGAAACATTAGCCAGATGTTCTGAACTGCCAGCCAAATGACGTTATGCCATTGCCTGCCCGAAATTTCAGATCTATATTTTTCCAAATTCTGAATTTCACTGAAACCTCTCAGTCTTTTTGAATTTTAATTGAATTATTGGTAGCCATATAATACAATGGACTGAAGTTTCACATTTTTAGACAAAGTACTTCTTTATTCAAATGGTACTCATACTAACCAATCTGCCATGGCTCACAACAGCTTCTCATGCAATCTTCCACTCTTCGCCTCCTTATTTATGCATCTGGGCTCCAGGGTACCCACCCACACATCAAGTGAGGTGGAAGTGTTTGCTGTTCCTGGGACCTTCCAGCATTCACACCACTTAAGCCATATTTAAAGCATAGCTGCACACCTCTTCAGATGCTGCACACCAGGAACTGGTTTTTATACTCCATGGTCCTCAGCCATTCCCACTGACGACCCAAATCAGAAAAGGAAATTTGTTCATAGACAAAGACGTGAAAATGCTGGTGCAGTGCAAAGGCAGTGCTGTATCCTGTTGACTAGCGAAGGAGTACAGGCCACCAGACCCATTCAGTCTTGACTGAGAAAAGAGCCCAGGTGACAGACATGTCCTGGGTGAAGTGCATTGGCCCAGCAGTGCAGGAAGAAGGTTAATGATCTGTGTTCTGCAAGGCTAAGTGCTATGCTCTTCTCTCTGATACCTCACACTTGCTGGACCACTACTCAGGCTAACTCTGCCACTGCACACACTCTCATCAAAGCATATTGCCTTCAACTCTCACTGTTGCATGCAACATGTCCATTCAACAACTCTCATCCATGGGGTCTTATCTTCTTAAATAGCCTAATGTGTGGTACCTTACCAATTGCCATCTGAAAATCCAAATACATTACATCACTGCTTCCCCTTTATCTATATGCTCGGTACCTCAAAGAATTCTAGTAAATGTGTCAGGCATTATTTCCTTTCCTTGAAGCCATGCCAACTCTATTTAACCATATTATGTATCTCTAAATGCTCTCTGCTATTACATACTTTTTTCCAATAACATTAAGCTAATGCAGGGTTGAATGAAGGGTCAGAGAAGCAAACACATAATTGCTGACACCAGGTAATCACTCCAAGTTTTACGATTCTGTGTTGTTGTGTATCTCAAAGTCCGCCTTGGAGGAAGCTTACCTGAAGACTGGAGGCTGAATGCCCTTGACCGCTGAAGTGTTCCCTGACTGGGTGAGAACATCCCTGTCTGGCGAATGTTGCGCAGTGTCCATTCATCCATTGTCGAAGCGTCTGCATGGTTTTGCCAATATACCATGCCTCGGGGCATCGTCACTTGCAGCTTATAAGATAGACAACATTGGCAGAGTCACATCAGTATCTGCCGTGCACATGGTGGGTGGTGTTCCCACGTGATGGTAGTATCCATATCAAAGATCTGACATGTCTTGCAGAGGTTACCATGACAGGGTTGTGTGGTGTTGTGGTCGATGTTGTCCTGAAGGCTGGGTAGTTTGCTGCAAACAATGGTCTGTTTAAGGTTTAGCAGTTGTTTGAAGGTGAGAAGTGGAGGTGTAGGGAAGATCTTGGCAAGATGTTTGTCGTCATCGATGACATGTTGAAGGCTGCAAAGAACATGACGTAGTCTCTCCATTCTGGGAAAGTACTGGATGAAGAAGGGTACTCTATTGGTCATATCCTGTATCTGTCTTCTGAGGAGGTCGTTGAGGTTTATCGCTGTGGCATGTCAGAACTGGCAATCGATGAATTGAGCTTCGTATCCCATTCTTACGAGGGCATCCTTCAAAACCTTTAGGTGTCCATTGCGTTCCTCTTCATCTGAGCTGAGCTTGTGTATGTGCAGGGCTTGTCTGTATGGGTAGCTTTTTTAACATGTTCAGGGTGGAAGCTAGACTCACCAAGCAGAGACTGATAGCCAAGCTCTGTACCCACAAAGACAGCCTCAACCGTGATCTTGGGTTCATGACCCCATCACACTGTTCTGTGTCTGTAATATCTTCCTTATTGTCTTGTTTTGACACCATCACCTTGATAAATTGTTTACTCACCATCTAACACTCTTGGTCACCTGCAGGGGCTTATTATCTGACACTCCACTCACACCAGTTGTATGATCTTTTCATCTCTTAGTCCTTGACCTCTCTGCCTATGAACTTGGGGTCTGTGTGCTCTTCTCTCTCACTGCACCTGACAAAGGGGCTGCGCTCTGAAAGCTTATGATTTCAAATAAGCCTGTTGGACTATAACCTGGTGTTGTGTGACTTCTGATTTTGTCCACCCCAGTCCATCCCCAGCATCTCTACATCACGATTACCATCAACACCACTTCCAGAGAACAGTATTATCTACAATAGTGTAAATAAAAGAGCTCGCAGAAACTCACTAGATCTAGTCAGCAGTGACTCATTGGAAACCATTACAGGCTACAAAGCACCAGAACAGACAAGGATAGCTATTTCTCCAATGCACAGAATAAATCCCCAAGCCACAAAATTCTGGAAATATGAACTAGTTCAGTGGAAAGTGGTTTCACATTGGTTTAAGAAATCAATTTTAGGAAGCTTCTTAGAAGTGGTAAGAGAGTAACAAGGCAGAGACACTGAAAAAGCGTATAGCATTAAAATAGATCTATTCCTCAAAGTAGAGTGGAAAAAAGGATGCCAGATCGAAGAGTTGAAGATGATGGTTGACAAATAGACTTGGACAGAAAGTCCAGGAAATAACTTGTAGGTGAGGACAAGGGTCTTCCAGCTGATTCTCTGAAGCTGTGTTGTTAGCAGAATCCAGAAAGTATTGGATCATAGGGATACTCCTGAAGCTGAAGCTGATGTTTTATTTAGGGCCAATGTGGATCCAGCAAAAATATCACAATTGAAATTCAGTGTTAAGGTTGTGAAGCATAAGCACTGGCATAGAAACAATGGACATGATGGCCTTTTTATGTGCTGCAAAATTCCATTAAAAGAGTCTCAACAACAGAAGGCAAGACATAATGACTGAAGCAGGTAATTTTCTTTATTGATCAGAACACCAAACTTCCATACTCTGCTGTTTAAGGGAACAGCTGTTTGCGAAGTTGGCTTCATTGTTTTTTTCAATATGAAATGTTAAAATTGAGTCATGTGTCAGACAGATGGGCAATGAAGGAGTACAGCAGAGCTAACTGTTATCAGTGCACATAACAGAAGCAGACAAATTGTTTTACTGAGGGATGACTGTGAATGATAAACAGGGGACCCAGATGAAGCTCAATGGTATATTATGTGCGACTGTGAAGACTAATGGTGTGGTTTAATGAAAAAATATAAATGGATAAGAAGCCTGATTGGAGGCCTTTAGACTTGTTTAGTAAAATAAATGGGAAGCCAGAAATTACCCACATGTGGGAGAGATTGAAACCTCCTCCAAATGTAAAACCTAATCTCCCCCAAAAGTAAAACTTTTACAGGCTTATCTTATTCAAAATGCCTTTGTTGTTCAGCATCTTTTAACATTGTCACACCAAAGAAGTTTGCTACTTTCTGCAAACCATTGTCGGATATTATTTTATACAGTGAAGATTTAAAACCTTTTGAGGTAAAACAACAGGACATTGTAAGGTACACATGATACATGTAATAAGTCATAATTCAAGTGCTGAAAACCCAAAGGCCTTCTGCAAATGTATGCCATAATTCTAGAAACAGTGCATAGGAAAAGACAGGAAATAGGCAAGGATTGAGTGATACCAAACTCCATCTTAAATTCTGGATTACGATGGAGACTTGTCAGAGGTAGACCCTCTGCCCATCCCATACAGCACTGTCAGCATGGATGGGGTTTGGGCTGGGAGTGGGGATTGCCCATTCTGGCAGTTCCCATCAGTGGAGCTCAGTGCATCGTTTACGGTAATGTATCTGGCAAAATCAGGTACGTGAGGACAACGAAGACTGTGTGAGTCCCTTCCAGGATACTAAGTTGCAACTGTGGTCTGCAACAGGAAGAATAGCCAAGTAGTTCATCATGAATTAAATAAGGCCCCTTGAGGATGCTGTTATACGAAAATCTCTAATTTACTTTTGATCCTGGATTTGATGCTCTCTGCCTGGTTAACACATGTTGAGAGACAATTTGTGGCTTCTTCAGCCTGTGTATCCATGGATGTTTCTCTATGGCAGGGCTATCTGCCAGTGGTCTTCAAGTGGCCTCTTCCTGGTTCTATAAATTTTGACAGAATCAGCATCTGACATTCTGCACAGTTTTACCTTACAGTCGTATCTATGGATTCGCAGTTCTCCAAAATTTAATTAAAGGTTTGGCTGCAGTCAGAGTTCATAATAAACAGAGAACTGAATATAATAAATTGGTCAATTCTATTAAGCAAACTGCACATATTTAAAGAAATTGGAGTCTAAAGAAGCATGATTAGGAAGAAACGATAACCCCTCATACAAGTTGTACATTTTGGATTTCCCATTCCATTCCGAGCATAATAAATTGTGCCTTTATTTCTCTTTTAACTGTTAAAATGACTTGTAATTGTTTCAGTGGATTCATTAGTAAAAACTTGAAATTTACTTCTGTGATATTTAGCGTAAGTATTTGATCAATT